AGCACTCTACCGAGGGTGACATAGTAAGACTGTCTCAAAAAAAAAAAAAAAAAAAAGATGTAGGCTGTGGTCCAAGAGGGTCTTTGGGGCCCTAGCTACTTACAGCAGCAGGAGGAGGGAGCGGTCTGAGAAGGATGTGCCCCTCCCTTTGAGGACACACTCCACACTTCAGAAAGGACACTCCCACAGGCAGAACTGAGCTATGTGACTACGTGCAAGGCAGGCTGGGGACCATCTTTGTTCCAGGCAGTCATGGATCACATGACTGAGGAAGGGCAGAGAGTGGATAGATGTTGGAGCCAAATAGCTGACCCCTCACTGGAGGGTTCCAACACCCTAAGATAGCTGGACCAAGTTATCTTGCTTGGGTTTTTCCCGGTTCTGAGAAGAGCAGGGTTTAAGAGCCATGGCTGGATGTATAACTTTCATTAAGCTGTGCTTCTCTGCCTGAATACAAGAAATACTGAAAATTTGAACAGTATTTTCCTCTAACTTTAGTAAGGGATGAATATCAATATTCATGAGTTAGAAGAAAATAATTCTTATAAAGTCAAGGATTTTTAACCAGAAAAGGATTTCCCCCAGCTGGGTATTTTCTGTAACAAACAAGTGTGTGAGGAATCAGATATTCTTTAGGATTCTACGTTTAATGCTTTAGAAATAGTTTCTTTTCTAAGTACAAATTGAATTTGCTGTTTTCCATTTAAGTTAGGCAGTAGTGCCTTTATAGACTTTTTCTTTTTTTTCCTTTAAATTATTGTTTGTAAATGCTGACAGAGCATCTGCATGGCTTTCAGTCATCCTGACTTTCACCCTCATCTCTTTTTTTTTTGCCTAGGGGCCACATGGTAATGGGAGATTCTTTCAACACTTCTCTCTTCAAGCAGACCTTCCAAAGAGTTTTCAGTAAAGATTTTAATGGAGATTTCCGAATGGCATTTGGTGCTACTTTGGAAGTAAAGGTACAATAGACTTTTAAGACTTTAATGAAATTGAGTTCTTATTCAGTCATCCAACTTCTAGCAATTTCAGCCTATTGGACACAGGCATCTAAAAACCAGTTCAAAGGATTCCAACAAAATGGCTGTCACAAAGTATATTATTCACTTTATCCCTTTGGTTCTTAAGGTTGACTTAAATTTACTAATTTTTTTTTTTAATTAAATGATAGCTATGTACATTAATGCAGCCATGGGGTACAGTGTGGTGTTTTCATATATGGATCAATTTACTAATGTTGTAAACAAAGTGTGGCCTGGCTCTCCTGCAGGCTCTGCTGCACCTGCTTTAGGACAGCAGGAGATAGAAGGGGAGATGGCTTGAGTGTTAGGAGAAGCACTGTGGCCTAAGGACAAGGGCAGATGCACAGTGGTCAGTGCCGACCTGGCCACCAGCCTGGCTCACTGCATTGCACAGACCTGTGGTTATATTTAGTGCCCGCCTGAAGAATAGCCAGTCCACTCCAAAATAGACAGCGCTGTAGGCTCTGATTCGTTTTTATCATAAGTACTCAAAGCTGCTACGTTTGATTCTAAGTCATTGAGAAAACATTAAAAGGGGCCATTAAAAGATATGAGTGGAATCATTATTTGGAGAATTGGAGATAATCATTAAGTCACCTG